ATAAATAAAACGTTAATGAAAAAGACGGAGGAAAACGGCGGGAGTTGGTCTGGCGCGTTGCTGACGTCACTAGGCCAACAGATCGATATTGTATATCTTTTATCTTTGATTCATCATCGGTTCCAGAACCGTTTCTCATCCATTTAGTTGTGTGTGGCAGGGTTGCGGTTGAAAGTCGGGTTGAACGCCGTATGAAGTCTCCTGCTTCCCTCACCATTAGCTTTCTTTTCCTTCTATTTCATCGTCTTCAAGTTTCATCTTTTTCTTCTTCTTCATTTCCCTTTTCATCCTTTTCTTCTTTTTTTTCTTGTTGTTCTTCCCTTTTATTGTTCCCCCCTGGGAATTTTACTTGTACATTCATTGTTTCTTTTTTTCTCATTCACTCCACCCGATAATTACAAATCTTGCCCTTGGTTTGGACTACAATATTAAACATGTTGGAAATATGCAATTAGAGTAGATGTCGGGTTAGGTTTTCTTTCTTTTCTTTCTTTTTTTCTTTTTTTCTTTCTTTTTTTTCTTTCTTCTTTTCTTTCTTTTACTATTTATTCATTCATTCAATATTTGATTTACAACTTTCATTCTTCTTGTTTTCATTACTTACCCCACTATTTCTTCCCACTTTTTCCCTTCCTAGGTTTCTTCTTCTTCTTCTTCTTCTTCTTCTTCTTCTTCTTCTTCTTCATCTCGTTCTTCTTCCTCCTCCTCCTCCTCCTCCTTCTACTCATCCTTCTGCTTCCTTCCTCCTCCTCCTCCTTCTTCTCCTTCTTCGTCCCGCCTCCTCCTCCTTCTTCTTCCTTCCTCCTCCTCCTTCTTCTTCCCTCCTCCTTCTTCGTCTCTCCTCCTCCTCCTCCGTCTTCTTCTGCCCTCCTTCTTCTTCTTCTTCCCTTCTTCTTCTTCTTCATCTCGTTCTTCTTCCCTCCTCCTCCTTCTGCTCCTCTTTCTTCTTCCCGCCTCCTCCTCCTTCTTCTACTCCTCCTTCTTCTTCTACTCCTCCTTCTTCTTCCTTCCTCCTTCTTCTTCCCTCCTCCTCCTTATTCTCGTCCTTCTTCGTCCCTCCCCCTCCTCCTTCTTCTTCTTCCTTTTTCTTCTACTATTCGCGGAGTGTCTTTCCCGCTTCGGGCTTGGGTTTCACCCTAAGCATCCATATAGCCATTGGTCAAGCCGAGAATGTTTCAGTGACTCTTCGGACTGAACGTCGATCTTCGGGTTCTCGTACGTGGATCGAAAATCTCGCACTGATAAGTTGTGCGATCATATCAAAATAATATAAACAAAATCACACAATCGTACACATATATGACTATAAAGATATATTTATTACTAAACGCATTCACACGAGAAAACAACCACAGGTCCACTGACAGACGGACCCCGCTCCACGAAAAAAAAAAAAAGAAAAGCAAAGTTACACAAATACGTACAGGATTATGTACATGTAAGCCCACGGACATAAATAATTCGCTAGAGAATAATATTAAAATGCTTTAAACATTTCACATAAGTATATATATACATATATATATATATATATATATATATATATATATATATATTTTTATTTTATGAAAAAAAATTATAACATAAATATGTTATAAAATCACTACAAAAGTAGCCATTTTGTTTCAAATGTTATAATTATTTTATAAAAAATAATTATATATGCTCTACTTTGTATTGAGCACTCTTTTAAGAATAGTAATTGTTGGTTATTGGAATTCATTCCGTATATACCAATTATATACTTGGGTATATATATATATATATATATATATATGTACAAGGTGTCCATAAAGTTCATGTGCACTTTAAAAATTTAGACCTTTATTTGTATTTGCGATAGAAATAAGTTGTAAAAAAGATCAGAAAGAAGTAAATCTATATTTCTTAAAGGTTTTATTGAAATTTTATTTAAGTTTTCACATGTCCTCCATCATTAGCAATACAAATGGTAATACGATTTTGCAGTTCACAGAAAACATTTGCCAACTGATTTACAGTAATGCCTGAAATCACGTTAGTTATTTTAGCTATACTTAAAACTAAGTACATTAAACTTTATAACATTTTTTACAGATTATTTCTATCGCAAATACAAATAAAGTTATAAATTTTTTAATGTGTACACAAACTTTATGGACACCCTGTGTATATATATATATATATATATATATATATATATATATACGTTATTATAGGATATTACATTCGAAAATATGTAAAACCGCTACATAAATGCATTCATTTTTCGATGCATATCATCAAATCTCATCCAGCGGTAGTAAATGAGGGTTATTACAATTTTTAATATTTACTTACATACAATCTCTTTTCCCGAGAACAAAATAAAAAAATATTGCTCTACTATTGTATGGAGCACTATTTTTAAATTAATGTTGTGAACGTTTGAATTTATATTTGATGAGTTCTCATTTCATTTGTATGTATATATATATATATATATATATATATATATATATATATATATGTGTGTGTGTGTGTGTGTGTGTGTGTGCATTTAGGCAACAAATTCTCATTTAGGCATATCTGATTGAATATGTCTGCTAATTTATAATAAAATCCGTTGATACTCACGAATAACCTTCCGTGTATTGATATTAAAGGACGAGAGAAATGTGTTACAGTTGTTTAAATTTCTTTTATTTTAATTTCCCAAGTACTTTGATCTTATTCCAAGATCATCTTCAGGTGTGCAAGTAGTACAAAACTATATGTTGTTCATTAGTACAATTATTTGTATAAAGTTGTGCGTTTGTTATCCATTACTGTAATGTGGAAAAAGGTTGATAATGTGTTGAGCGTTCATTAGAACGTAAAAAAATTATATACCATTTTAAATGTCGCTTGGGAGAATATATATGTTTGGTATACGACAAATACACTAACAAGAAGGCTTACAATACACATGCCTGGCCATTCCTCTATTATAAAAAAAAAAATTATGGTCAAATCTACTATCTCTGAAGAAGATAGAAATATGTCTTGTTCATAACCCGGAGTATTTTTTCCATTTCATTTCTGATTTGTTTGAAGATTTGGAAGAACTACTGTTTTTTAGAGCTCTCATGAAATAAAAAATTATTAGCTATCAGTGTTTGATATTCTTTAATTAATTAATAATAATTATATATATATATATATATATATATATATATATATATATATATATATATATATATAAGTAATGAAAATCTTGGTAATCCGTATGGATAATCCCAAGGAAGATGAAATCCAGAGCTCAATGTTAAATCAAGGCGAATAATTTAATTTAAAGAAAACCAGACAACTTTAAGATTCCATAAGGTTATAATTTATTTCCCAGGTATCTTCTTGTCATCAGACCTCACTTCCAAATCCTTGAAATCCTTGGAAGTGAGGCCTGATGATCCAGGGAACAAGAAAATCCCTGGGGAAATAAATTATAACCTCATGGAACCTTAAAGTTGTCTGGATTTCGTTAAATTATATATATATATATATAAATATATATATATTACGATCATGAAACTCGGGTTCGAATCTCATCATCGTTGATTAATCAGGAAGGTGAGTTCTTAGTGGGAGGCGTTCCAAGGCATCGTGACTGAGTGTTTGTGCGAACTCGCCTTGTTCAAGTTGTTGACCATGCGAAATAATGAGCTCTCCTCCAGAATCTGTAACTAATGTCCGCTGAGCGTAATTGCAGTATAATATGGGCTCTGTGGATTTTGAACAAACACAAATCTACCTGAGCAGGCGTCTACAACTAGTTGTCCTAATAGACAGGCATATTCAGATACTAGCCACCACATCTATCTGCGTATCACTTTCTGTAAGCCCCTACATACGTATTTTCTATGAAAATTTCTTGGACATTCTGGTTTCTATGAAAATTTCTCGGACATTCAGGCCAGTAAATGTTTAATACTATTTATTATAAACAGACCATTTACTTAAATATTTGTATCTATGAAAAGAATGTATAAACATAAAAAATGTCTTAAAAATAGTTGTCGGACTTTGTCCATTTCATGATGTGACGTCATTTGTTTACATTTAGATACGCATTGAGCAGATATGAATGTACGTGAGAGAATCATGGAAGATTGTAGTTTAAAAGCAGTAAATTCGACTTTGCTAACTAAAAGATCCTCTGTGGCCCAATTAAGGCACGTCAGGCTATATGACTGTTCCGTATATTCAGGCCGGTAAATGTTGTTAATACTGTTTAAACAGTAAAAAAATAAACAGAGCATTTACTTAAATATTTGTAACTATAAAAGGAATGTATAAACATAAAAATGTCTTAAAAATATATATGTATATAGTTTTAAGGTATGCTATATTTATGAGATAAAATGCTTAATTTCTGAGATAGACCGCATGATGTAAGTATAAAAATGAACAGTGAAGTCATCACTGAATGTTGACTTCACTATATATATATATATATATATATATATATATATATATATATATAAAAATTTTGAAAACAAACAAAAATCCATAAATGTAGTTAAAATGAAATTTTTATGGATTTTGTTTGTTTTTCAAAATTTCTACATTCTGTCGGATCTATATCCATTTACACTTGCTTATATATATATATATATATATATATATATATATATATATATTACTTATAACGAACGTTATTTTTAGTGGATACCCGTATTTGAGTAGACGCCATGTTTATTTATTAAACAGTATATTTATTTATTTTCATCTACCGGTCTGAAATCTTAAAAAAATATGCGCTCTCCGGCATAGCTTTTTCTAATAAGATATTTTTTGGAGGGGAAGGGAGATAATAATGGTTTAATGATACAAGTCTTGCTAATTAACCCATAGCTGGGGGACGAAAGAAGCGGTGGATTCATACATTTTCTAAGGGTATTTGCGCGTAAGTGAAAAATAATGAACCTAACGGCAATTGGATAATGACTCTGAAGTGTTAATCGGTGAGCCAAGTTCCATTACACCACCCGCACATCCAAACGTACATCACCTGGCATTCCCAAGCGGCTACCCATCTAGGTACTGCCCAGGCTCAATGTTGCTTAACTTCAGTGATCGTACAGAAACCAGTGTTTCAACATGATGTTGGCGTAAGTAAATAATTAGATGTGGATAAATAAAAAAAATTTTAAGCGTTTCAAGCAAGGCGGGAAGCCAACTAGGACGCAAGGGGTTACAGAAGATTTGGAGCAAGAGCAGATAGGAGTGATAGAAGAAAGGATGAGGAGAAGGATAGTGGATAGATCAAGGCAACTGGAGATATCGATTGACATTACATTTGAATAGTTGGAGATTATAGCTCTCAGGGAAACTGGAATAGGGAAGGGAGTTCCACAGGCGAGAGGTGCGAGACACGAAGCTGTTGTAGTAGAAGAGACGGCTACATTTAGGAGTTTCGACTATGAAAGGGTGAGAGTGGGATGCCAGCCTCGCAGGGCGCTTGAACTCATAAAGTCTGGGAACCAGCGAATGCAGCTCGTCGGAGCAATTACCATGAAAGTATTTGTAAAAAAGACAGAGAGAAGCGACGGCGCGTCTGTGAGAGAGTGACTGTAGACGAGATGCCAGATCAGGGCCAATTATATTGCATATCCGCTTCTGGAGCCTATCAAGAACCCTGATGCAAACAGAAGGGGCTCCAGACCATATATGGCAGCAATACTCCATGCAAGGGCGAATTGTTGATTTGTAGATCTGGAGGATGGATTCCGGGGAGAAAAATTTTCTGGCGCGGCACAGGGAGCCAACTTTCCTTGGGGTGGACGAAGCAATTAACTCAATGTATTTGTTCCCTCCCAGGTCAGCAGTCAACGTGTGACCGAGCAACTGCAGAGAGGTGCTCTCGAGAAGTTGAGTGTCAGACATTCTAATGGAGGGCAGGTAAAGATATATTTGGTGATTAATGGAGAGCAGTTTTGTTTTTGAGGCATTAAAGTTGACCAGCCAATTCCTGCCCCAGTTCACAACCGATTGGAGGTCCTTTTCGAGACGCACGGCCAGGTTAGTTTTGTCAGCGACACTAGATTTGTCTTTGAGGCAGGAGTAAATTGTGGTAGGAGTTTAGACAGTGAAGGGGTGAGAAACAGAGCTGCACTAATACAGAGGCCAGAGAGAGAGAGAGAGAGAGAGAGAGAGAGAGAGAGTACCGGGAACCCTTTCCTAAACAAGAAACAAGGCGTAAGCCTCTACTCATGTTCAAGAGAAGGGGGAGGAGTGGTGACCGGTCGGTAGGTAGGAAAGCCTACCTACTCCTGTTAAATATATGATAGATGTGAATACACTGATATAGATACATGAGGAGATGAAAATAGAAATGACATCAATAGATATGCATGAATAGTTTGTTATCAATAAGCCGTAGGCGATCATGGTTTTTTGATAGTTCTTTATTATCTGTGAACTGGTATGATTTCTTGGGAATGATAGCGGAGTGGTTTCCCGTTGCTTTCTCCATAGATTCCTTTTCTTTATTATCTATGACTTCTTAGTAAACATAGTGGACTGATTTCTCTTTGCCTTCTCCACATCTTGCAATTCAGAGCCGTCCTTATCATAAACAAGTTATCACGTAAAGATAAAGAGATTAGTCCATCCTACTATTTAAAATCTATGAAGACGATTCTTTCCATTCTAAAAAAATAGACTGGGGGAGAATTTGAACTCGAACTGCTGACTCCATTTTAAGCGCTGATAAAATTTGCTGTACACGAACATTTATACATTTCATTCCGTTTAAAAATACTTTTCGCTTTGTATATTTTCTGTAGAATAGTTTAATATTTTTTTATATGCTATTACTTTCATTATTGATATTCTGTATTTTTCTTAGGTTAGTTTAATTTCTTTTCTATTACGCGAAAATTATTGTTGATTACAGATTCTTTTATATTTTTTAATTAGTTATTAGAATATTGCGCGTGCAAGGCAGATTAAATGATTCAGTCAGTTATGTGCCATGCGTGATACACGCTTAGGCGATCATGTATCTTTCGATACATGAGTCAGATTTTTTTTCCCCGCAGTAGGTTACCATTTTTTTCTGCGGTAGACCATCTAAGGCTACAGAACCCGGTCTGTCCTTTACCAGAGAAGAAGAGGATTCATACCTTTCCCAAGTAAGCGAATGTAATGGATTCGACTTGAATTCGAACTCGTCTCTCCGATTCTTCAGTCCGAGTCGCTATTCATTACTCCACCGTGTCTCCTGAAATGCTTACTTTTTTTTATATATTTTTAAGAAGGCTATTTTGTAATTATGTTATCATTCACTGTGGTAGTTATAAATTGAAATTCCTATGATCAACAAATGTAAATGAATATTTTTTTTTTTAGTGAAGTATAGTTTCATAGGGGATAAAAACTTTCCGGGCGACAAGTAGAAATTACTTAGCTGTTATGTCAAGCAGTGTTCTTTGAGAATGTTGGTCTTTCCGCGTGTTGGACCTCAGAGGAAAAAGACTCTCTTTTTGTCTCGTCATAGCGGAGGAGGAAGTGACGTAGGCCGTTACTGACTGGTTGCTTGCTATTTCAAAATAGGCAGTGGCAATTGTTTATATGCCCATTGTTGTGTGCTTGGTGGATATTTGCTTCAGTATCGCCTGCTGGAATAGGTATTGTTCCGGTAGGGTCGCTTGGGAAAACAGGTATCAGGTTGAAACCCGAAACTTGTCATAACTCCAAGTCATAACATTAATGATGAAGCGATCCCGTTCACCTTTTAGAGTGTATTCATAACAAACGAAATATGCTTAAGTTTATCGGTGGACGGTTTAAAATTAGCATCAGTCTGAATCGATTCCTATGTAGAGGTCCTGTTATTGATGTTAAGTTCATATATGAATTTTTTTTTATTTCTGTTGCTGGAAGAAAATGATACTTGAAAGAAAAAGTAAAAAACAAAAAAAAAACAACATTCCAATGATGCTTGGATAGTCGATGCTTGAAAAATGCCAAAAAGAAAACAATACATCTGTTTGGACAGGAACTGATTAATTCACAAATGTTCTTTGACAATAGCTTCTGAAAACCGAAAGATATCCAAATGTAGCTTTCCAGGCTTCCGTACTTGTATTTTATAGTGTTTTAATAGCAACAAATTATGCAGCACTTATTTCGATGTACGACGTTACTTAGAACGATTACTTCGCTACTTATATAAATTTTTAGGCTGTCATCTTGTTCTATGTGTCGTGTTTCTCCAATGCGTTGGTGATCATGTCTCTCCACAATTTCCTGTTCTTTGTAACTATTAATAGATTTTGTTTCTTTTTTAAAAAAAATCAGTCTTAGCAATAATAAAAGTGCCTGATGCCTATAAAAATTACAATTGGTTATTTACAGCTAATTTATCTAAAAATCCACTGACTGTTTTTTTTGCGTCACGTGGCAATGTGTAAGTAAAATGATGCACTAAAATAAGTAACCAAGTAACCGTCTTAAGTTCTATGAATATCCGTGCCTATTTGTTGAACGTCTCGGTCTGGGGTCATAGCAAAATTGATCATGAGTAGAACATTTGATCCATACTAAACTATACTTTTACTCGATTCCTCTTTAAGACGTACGCGGTCATGGCGCTCCACAGATTCCTTTTTTTTTTGGTTATCTATGAATTGCCATGACTTCTTGGAAAATATATTAGAGTGGTTTCCCGTTGTCTTTTAATCGGTTTTGAATTTAGAGTTGCCATTCTAGTAGATTGGTGATCACCCAAGTTTACAGAGCCTGATCTACCCTGTTATTTAAACTATAGTTGTAGGATTTCGCAATAGCATAGTGTGAAGTAAACGCCACTGGCTTGGCAAGGATTTGAACCCCGCTCGCCGATTCCACTTTTGGCACCGATAACAGTTACGCTACCACCCGCGTATCATTTGTTGCCCTAACATTTCTGAATATTTGCCCTTTACGGAAACTTAGAAAGTTTATAATAATGGTTGATTAAAAATTGATAAATATTTATGAAATGAAAAAAACAACAACTTTTTTTTATTTATTATAAATAGATTTTTCTTTCTTTAAAATTATAAATCTTTTTCAGATAGATTTTCTACTTAGAATTATTCAATAATTCTTTTTGACATTATCAATTTTTACTCATGTTCTATATTGATTTTCCAAGCACAACTTAGATGTGACACAAGGCCGAAAGTAGGATCGAACTCACTACTCAGTCATAATTGTTCTAGCTAACCATTACCGCCTCGAGGTGCCCATATAGTTATTTTCTAAGCATAGCTTAGATATGGAACAAGCCCGAAAGTATGGGACACCTAGTGAGGATCGAACTCTCTTTTCAGTTGTAACTGATCTAGCGAGACAAGCTTGCTAAACATTACACTGCGCCGAGGTGCTCTAATTATAGTTATTTTCTAAGCGTAGCTTAGATGTGACACAAGGCCGAAAGTATGGAGCACCTAGAGAGAATCGAATTCAATTTTCAGTCGTAACTGATCGAGCGAGACAAGTTTGCTAACCATATACACCATGCCGATGTACTCTACTCATGTTTTATATTATTTATTCAATATCGTATCGACCATTATTTTTTTTCTTTGGCTTAATTTATATTTTCTAGTTTTATTTAATTTTTTTTTTTTTAGTTTATTCTGATTTTTTTAAATTTCTTTCGTGGTTTAACATTTTTCAATTAAATTCTTTTATTGTCTAAATTCACTCCCACTTTTTTACTAATTGTTTTACTGTTTTAATGTTTTCTAATTTTCTTAAAACATTTATTATTCCCAAATAATCTTTCTTTCGAACAGTGACTATTTTTCAAAAATGTTTTACAATATATATTTAAAACTGATTTTAACTATTTTCATTCCATTACACAGATGACACAGTCATTTAATCCTGTCTGAGATGTCCGATAAAATCAACTGGCAGTTGCTATCGAAAATAATCTACAATCTGTTATAAACATGGCTAAGAACAGTTTTTATTAATATTTCCTTGGATTTCTACTGTATACACATTTCCTTTCAGCTCGCAACCAAAGACCGAAAGTCAGAAATGTCTTCAGGACATTTTTCACAGATCATTTTGAAAAAAAAAAAAAAAAAGCAAGACCCGACACATTTTATAT